ATTTACTTTTTTTTTTAAATTCTCGAGAGATCACCCACGTGATCTATTTTATTATTTTTTTTAATGTTCAGAAGAGATTCGGTACACTTTAATCAATTAATACTCATTTCGATCTTCTTGACTTGCAGATCGCGATATGACATATTGCTTTCGCAATAAAACTTAATCTTTAATCATGAGAATGTCCACATTGCTTGATAAACGGGGTAGAACGATAAATCGAACAATCTCCTCAATTTACACATTTAATTATCATTATCACTTTTCATATTCGTGACAAAACAACAGGTACCGATAAGAAGTAGGTTCGTAAAGAAAAAGGGAGAAGGAAGAAATGAAGGGTGAGTACGGCTGAGAGGGAAGAAAAGGGAAGGAAAGGTCGATCGACGAGTGTGCTTCCCTTCGCCGTTATCGGGATCGCGGACGGGGGGGGTAATTAAGCGAACTGATAATTTAAAAATTTTCACTACACACCGTAAGTAAAGTCTCCTCTTCGATGGTCGACGGTTTTCCCTCGTCGGGGGCGATCAGCGGTCTGGCTGGCGATGTGCAAAAGCCGAGCTGAGGATCGCACTGACCAGCGGCGTGTGACGGAGTACGCGGCGGAGACCAGCGACGGCCCCGGCAAGAATTCAGTTCTTATCAGTCGCGTGAAGCATGTCGAACACGAAGATATATATATATATATATATATATATATATATACGTACACATATATACGTATATCTTGATTTGATCAGGAAGCGCAGCTGTTTGTCGCAAATGGAGCGAGCTCGTGGCGAGCTCGACTCGCTCCGTACGCGCGACCGTATTTCCCCATTTCTCGTTATCCCGTGTTCCTCGTGTCCTCGTGTCCTCATTTCGATTTTGCTCTCGATTTGCTCGTTGTCGACTCAAACTCGAACTCTTGAAGAAATCGCCTCGACGTTGACCTTCCCGCTGGGATCGGCGGATCCCCCACGTTCCGCTTGATGTGCGATAATTGCCCGTGCGAGATCGTTGCCTCGGCGATTTGCGACAAACAGCGTCGCCAAGGAAGGTGACTGAGGCTCGCCGTAAATGGATATCGCATATTTTACTGGGGAAAAAAAAAAAAAAAAAATGATCTTGCAGTCATAACGAAAATTATCTAGACATGAGAAATTAGCTAAAATGGATAAGTGAGCCGGCAAGCACTATATGACATCGCATATATATACGTTTTGTCATATCTAATCGATATGAATGACAAAAACAGAATTTATATTTGAATAATTTGTTAAATTTAACAGGAAAGTCTCTCTCTCTTTGGCGTTTAATCATAATAAGTCTTACAAAAGTGATCGTGTGATTACAAGGCTAAATTTTTTTGCATACATTGTTAAAATGTTGCTATTAAATTTTACATACGGCAAAATTCTTTTAGCAGATACATTAATACATATTTCAACTATAACATTTCGAATTCTAGTTGGACAACTTTTTTTTAAGTGTGCAAAGCGAAATATTTTCTCTATCATCGAAAGCGTGCGAAAAGATTAATTTTATTGAAATATTTAAAAATGTGGTCAGACACGGACCTAAAAGTAAATTTATTGAGCCATCAAAATTATTAATAGGGTGTTTCAGTATGATAATAATACAAAAATATTCTAGAGACTTGAATAATTATTTTACATAATTATTTTATAATTATCTTACATAATTATTTTGATAGTCCAAATTATTTTCTATCTGGCCAAATTTGTTGATACTTCAGCAAAAGTGATTTCTTTCCAGATGCCGCATTTTTAGTCACATTCGAAGCTATTTTCAACCTATGGTTGTTGTAATTCAAGTGAATTTCATTCCAGAGAATGAATAACATTTCCACTTATTTCACTTACGTTTATCTCGTATCGATAGCCAAGTTTGTAAAAAGAGATTAATTACTTTTCTTTTCTATTTTTTATTTGTATCTGTCTTATAGTAAAGCTTCATGTGGAAAATAAATCACAAAATCAACAATGAAATACAAATATTTGTTTTATGTTTCAGTCAGATATATCACATCGGCTAAGATTTAAAGATATAACAAAAAAATTTGAAGTGTCCTCTTAGAGGAGTATCAAATCCTTAAAAAAAAAATTACAAAAATGTGTTTCTATTTTTCATATAAAATTATTTAATCGCTTTCGACAAAAATTTATCTATTTATCAAACAAAATTTTGATGCCATAGATTCAAATTGATCAGAAAGGAAGAAAAGAATTAGAAAAATCTGTTTAAAAAAATTAGTCTAGTCAATTTTTAGTCAATTAGTTAATTTCTAGTTGATAACTAGTTTTTTCTAGATTTTTCTATTCAAACTATTCTTTCTTTTCTCTTCCTTGTCTTTAGTGAATTAACATAACTTGATCCTAAATGTATACTGTTTTTACTTATTTGTATTTGATTTCAGTTATCACGGAATACATGTCCGCAATTTGTTTTTCATTTTTCAATGATTAATACTTTTTCATTTTCTTGCTATAGCATGATTCATAATTCGCATATCATTGTTCTTGATGACGCATAAATGCGCGTAATACGTATACACAATTGATAGATAGCTGATATCCTTATTGATGGATAGCTAATATCCGCAATTTTATTTTTCTAGAAACGTATGAATGCCCAAATAAGAAGGGAGGGTGTGTGTCACGGCGGGGTTCGATTACGAATCAGTCGTGAAAACTCGTAATTATTTTGCGAAAAAAAATACCATCTCAGCCAGGAATCAAACCTGGATCTCCTGCTTACCGGGCAGGCATCTTATCCCTTCGATTACCAAGACATGTGATGATATTTATCGCAAATAACGTATTTAGAATAACACGTCAACAATACAATGATACACATATATACGTATATTACAATATACATATATACATGTATTCTCTCGAATCCCCACGACCGATACTCCAGAGAGATGATGGTCCTATTCTCTCGATGGATGCAGGTCGGACTGCAGCGGCGACATCCTTCAACGCCATTGGCAAATATACAAATAATCCTTCTGGAGCACAACAGGAGAGATTGCATCAAGCATGAGCACGTAGAAAGCTATAATAAATAACAATCGCTGAGAATATGAAAAAAATGAATGAAACGCATTAATCAAGCATCTTTCCGCAATTAAAATTTATGCATTAATACGTGTCTAGCATATGAATTTCGTAGAATCTCAAGAATGAGAAAAAGTTTTATAATTTATAAGTTATATAGTTAGATTTTTTTTACCATTTGGTATTTTAATACGACGGTCAGATCGCGTCAATATTTGCTTTATATAAAAATTTTAATAGTTTGTACTTACAAAATGTATGTATGTTACACTGATATTGCTAGAAGATTACATGAAGAAGCAACATTGAGTTTTTTAGAATTAGGCTGAATATCTAAGGTGACAAAGGCAATACGAAAAATGTGTTCATATATGTGCAGAAATGTATGTATGAATGTGTACGAATAAATGTATTTATGTATATTTAGATGTGCATATGTGTGAACGTTCTTATTGGAGTTCGTTCCTCGGTTCAGCATCCCCTTAATGGATATAATAATGCTGATATAACAATAACACCACTTTTTGAATTCTTTTTTTAATAGGGTGTTTTAAAAGTGGAGGTTGATCGCTCGGAGAGGGTGATTGGGGATTCAAAAATAGGAAAAAAAGTTTATGAACATAAGTAAAATGCATTGTTCTTGAATTATTGTAATTTTTATATTGAAATTTCAAATTATTTTCGAAATCTTTTTGTCAAAATTAAAAGAAGAAATGGTCTTAATAACGTAATCTTATTAACATAAGAATTTTATAATATAATTAAATTAAAAAATTAAAAAATAAAAATTACATGCAAGAAAATTGCAGACTGCTTTAACATTACCC